TGATGCTACCAAAAATCGTACCTGTAGATTTTCCGAGCTTGATGACTGATGATGAGCACGAACGTGATCTTCCGATACCTGAAACAAAGGCAACGAGGTGTGTTCTCGTCGCCCCTCCGATGCTTAAGTCAGAAAGGGAAATATATGCGTGAGGCTATGTGCTGAAGAACAATGTCAAACGTACCTGAATAATGGTTCAAGGTTCTGTATTTATAGTAGTAAGTGACATTCTCCTAATTGGACTCAACTAGTTGGATGTCCTCATCTGTTGGAGTCCTGAATGGTTAAGGAGTTGGTTGAATTCCAGAATTATGCGTGAGATAGGACTCTTGTGGGAGTTAAGATTCCTAATTGCGTAGGAATTCTAAAGTGTGAACAATCGTCAGCAGTAAGGAGGAGCACATTCTCGAGGACTATGCCCGAGGACACATGTTTGCAATATGCGAAGCATCATGGAGATGTGGTCGGGCCTTGTGTCTCGAGGACGAACATGCTCGAGGACACCACAGATGGATTTACAACTTTACCAAAATTAGTCCTCGGGATATACTGATCGGGGATATTGTAAAATGTCACCATCAAGCCGTATTTTGATTTGGCTCTTTCTAGTTACTACTTCCTAGTGTGTGAATTCAACTTATTTCTTTTTGTTGGTATTTTGAAAGCTTGGTTATGAGATGATGTGATTTGCGCATCTCTCGTTCTTATCTCTCTCCTGTCCACAAATTAGTCACTCATTGCACAATTATTTTTGAAAAAGAGCAAGTGTTTTCGAAAGAGACATACGGCCTTACGGGCCCATTCCTCTCAAACAATTATGAAGGCACAATTAAATTAGCAAGAGGAGAGTGACTTTAGCGTTCGATGCAATTGGACGTTTGGCAATTTCCTACTACACATGGGGTATCCTCTCCCCATCTTGTTAATATCGTCAAAAGATAGAGAAGGCCCAAGCTATGGGTCAAATGACAAATATTATTCAATTGGAAAAGGGAAACAATGAGTTGGAAATTGTTTCCAAGTCATTGTTTCCAAGTCCTTGTTTCCAACTGAAATGTAACACATGATGAGCCATCCATATCTTATCTTATGCCACATGCCTTTATTAGTTTAACAAAAAATTCAATAGATTCATAAGATTTTTTACGTAACATATATGATGTTTGGCAAAGTAGCTTTTTTTAGTTACTTTTCTCAATAGCAAGTTGGGCTGAACCACTTTACCAGAAGAATAATGTCAGAAGCATTGCTAGAATATAGTGGCGGGAGTTGATTTGATGGAAAATATGACTATATTTTAAGCAATCCAATGAAGAGTATCATATGACATTACGTCAATTATTTTGATATTGTAGCATGATGCTTGCAAGTTTAACCATGCTAAAATATAATGTTTTAAAATGTTTATTTTATTTATTTATTTATTTATTATTATTATTTTTTGTCATGTACAATGATAACAAAATAGATAATAAATTTAAATCCCTTTTCCTATCATTACGGCAAGAATGAGAATAAAATCAAGAAAAGCCGCTAATATTCATCAATTACTTCCCACTTACGAAAGAATTTCCTTAAAAAATTGTGTGAACCCATAACCAACCTATCAACAATGTGCAAAAGTGGGACCCCTGCATCAATTGAACTTCGAAATTTTGGTCCGTTTGATTGCAAAGATGGAATTGAATTGAATTGAAAACGAATTCCAGGGTATTGAATTGCCTAGAAATTATTTCCCTGTAAATTGTAAATTATTGTGTTTGATTGGTATAATTTTTCACGTGAAAAATGTTAAAATAAAAGTGTTTTTTGGTGTTCGTTTGACTTTGTTTTACATGAAAATTGTCAATTAAAATGATGAATTTTATTGGTATTGGGGATAAAATTTGTTTCCATTGCCAACAAAAAAAATAAAAAATCAAGAAAATCATCTATTTTTTGGTGTTCGTTTGTCTTTGTTTTACATGGAAAATTCCAATTAAAGGGAAATATTTTTTTACAATAATTCTTAAAATTTGTTTCCATTACCAACCAAAAAAAAAAAAATCGCTACAATGCCCGGAAAATGAATTCTCACCAATATGGTGAGAATTCGAATTCAAGAAAATGATGGAAAATGCTAACGCGGAGGTCAAAAGTGAAAAACGAATTTCTTGAAAAAAAATTTCAATCAAACAAGCCAGAAGTGGAAGTTGAAATTCTTTTTCCATTTTCCCTAGAAAATAAAGGGCTATCAAACATGCCCTTTGATTAATTGCCCCTTTTTCTTTGATATATTTAATACTATAATAATGATAATGAACCAATATGGTTCGTCATAATATACAGACTTAAAATAATTAGAAGAGACAAAAGCATGATGGTGGATGGAAATGATTTTGTTGGGGATGCCCCGCTCCCAAATATCATTCCAAAATAGTCATCGTCTCTACCACTTGATCCCCCACCGCCTCCTCCGGTTTCGCCGGTGGCTGCCCCACCACCATATGACATGCTCATACCGTTGTCCCTGCAAATAAAAAAGACGATGGTTTATGCTAATACATCTTGGGAGTTGGGACTTGGTGGCATAAGAAACCTCTTTTTGTGGCCTTATTACGGTAGTTAAAATGGTGTCGAGTAGTGTCTAACACTATCTAATACTTAGTACCAATTACCAAATGTGCCGTACCGTTGCTGTTTCTGAAAGCAAATACTGGGTTTACATTGGAGGAAAATGGACTGATTTTTACTTTCATTTTCTGTCCAACAAAATAGTACATGTAAGTACCAATTACAGAGCTCAAATGGAAATTGTCAATGAGGGGCCAGCAGCAAATAGGTGATGAGGAAAGGCCGTTTCCAGTAGACCCCCACTGGCACCAAAAGTGTGTTGAGTAGGAATATAATATATCTTAGCATCACAAATGGGACCCATATTATCAAATTTCAAAGGGTTGGACCCATATTCATGGGCTGGAATGCATGAAGTTGAGAATGTAATTTTCACATTGACACACACTTGAAACAACTAACATGGCTACATTTGCTTCACAACAAAAAAACCTGACTTTTAGCATCTTGAAATCGTTTGATAGTCTTTCTCACTAGAAAAATGAAAAACTAATTAAAATCAACTTCGAAATTTGGGACACCCATTTGTAGTCTCAGTTAACCGCTTATCTACTTCGCCTGAAAAAATAAGTGGAGGATAGCATCCTTTTTTGAAACTTTGACGTTTCTTTAAAGGCTAAAGGCAAAAGAAGGAGAACATCCCCACAACTCCACTAAAAAAAAAATAACCTTTTTCAATATCAATCCACAGGGAACCAGTTTGGCTCCTATGTACTGCACCGTGTATTAAACATTTTCGTCACGAGTTTTCTGTAATGCTACTAATGGATCATACTCCGACAAAATTTCAATAAGCTATGAAGAAGTGTATCCCCAGATTTTGCCATAGTTTTCTACTAAACAAAAGAAAAAAGCCTGTGAATAACTGTGTACCTTGGACCGCCAATGACACCAGCATTCATGGTGAGAAGGTCAATGAGTCCAGCAGACCTAGGCGCGACGCTGGAGGCCTTGGCATACTGAGTGCTGAGGCCTTCGCCAGAGGGCACAAAGAATGCTCCATTTACCATTATGTCTCCATCCGTCCTCCAATTCCAGCCAGCCCATTCCCCCTCGTCTGTGTCCACCCGCTTGGTCACCTGTTCAAAGACGTGTAAAAACCTGGACGCTTGCTAAAAGTCCAATCACTATTGAATTTATTTTTATGCACATGATAAAGTTCCAGTGGGGCTCCATGTAGTGCAGAAATGCAAATGTAAATGCACCTTTTTTAAAGAAAATTACAAATTACATTATTGAAAAAAAAAGAAGAAAATGAAAGATTCAACATCTTGAGGACTCAATTTCCCATCATTGTATATTTCAATTTCACATCACTTACATCAGCAAGATTATTGTACAAGATACATCCTCATAACACAGCATGCTAGTAAGGTAGATTCGACGACATGAATTAGTATTAAGGAAAAAATCGAATGTATAGAATTATTTTCCACTGAAAGATTATAGACCCTCACATCCGGTGGACGTGGTGTATTAAAATATTGCAAAACAATGATCCACGCACCCTGGTATGTGTGTGTTCTGTAAAGACTCTGTACCATTTTTTTCTGTAATTCTAGCTTTGCTCTAGTATTAAAGAAGGAAACGGAACAAAAATCTTGTCTTGTACTGTCATATTTATTCTCTTTGTGGGTCCCAAGAAAAGAACACCCGATGAGAAATAGATGAATTCTAGAACCTGTTTGATTCCCATTAATTTATTTTATGGTTTGCTACATGATCAGTTTGAACCACACGTTCATGAAATAAAATATTCAACACATTCTCCCAAAACTATTCCCTAATCTTTATCCTCACATTCTCCTAAAAATACCATTCAAAACTCATTTTCTCTGCAATTAAAGGGAATCAGGCAGGCATTTAGTTTTGAACTTTTAATCAAACATTATCTGCCAAAAATTATTTTAATTTTAACTAGGGAGGGCCTACTTCGATAATCACCTACCCCATCCCATCCCACCACCAAGAACAACACATCCACTGCGTGAGAGTTGGTTCACAAACCAAAAAGGTTCACGAGGAAAGAATAGTGGGCGTTAAACCAATGATTTTCTCTCCCAAGAATGTGTGCTTGTGCTTTAAAGTAGATCAAACTTACTCTTAAGTTACTTCTTTTCTGAAACATGGTTTCCGAAGTTACAAATTTTTTAGAAAGTAAATCTTTAACATGTCGAAACATGCTAAAATGTATAATTACCTCCTTAGAATTTGGGTCTGCTGGCGCAATATACCGATTGCCTTGACTGTTTATTGTAGGATTAGCACTTCCACCAATTGCATACATTTCCCATTTAGCAAAATCATTATTCACCACATGTATATACCCTCGCCTGCACCTTGGCATCCTCTGCACCAGCCCTTCCCCGAAGTGATTGAAGGCTATTGTCACCTATTCAAAAACGCAGACATTCTTAGCAGAAAACTGGAACATGCACTGTAAACGAAACCAGAAGCGCACGATTCTAACCTGCATTCCTGAATCAGCCAAGTACTTGTCATTATGTCCTAATAGCATGACCTTGTCGTGGTGAGAAAAATAGTTGTTAGAAATAGTTATGGCAGTGGAGCCAAGAGTGGCATCGATCAAGCCATCAGTACAATGTGACAAGGCACAGTGATCAATCCAAATATTCCTGGAACCAAAAATAGATATCCCATCGCCGTCAGATTTGCCTCTCCAGTCGGCATGACTTGGGCTCGACCTTATGATCGCATTTCCCGATGGTAAACAGTTGTAAATATGCACACTATGAATTATCACATTGCTGATATACTGCAAAGTCAAGCAGCCATGGCCGGTTATGTGCACATTTGCACCACGCCCATCAATGGTTTTGTAACTGCTAATTATAAGCTCGTGTTTGAGTTTGATAATCATGTCGGATTGAAAAATTATCCATAGGGGGACATCTTGGATGACTGCGTGGCGGAGGGTGCCAGGGGTGGGGTTGGCAGTGTCGTGGTCGGAGGAGTCGGTGACTACATAGATTTGGCCACCTTTGCCGCCCAATGCTCCTTGGCCAAAGCCAATGGCGCAGTCCGCCAGGCGCTGGCGGTTGGCGACCCAGTTGGGGTCGCACCGCCAGCAGTCATCAACTGGATTGCCGGTTAGACATTGGGATTGTTCTGATAACATTTTCCTTCTTGATATTGATACATTCACCCTCCTGTTTTGCACATCATAAAATTAAAAATGAATGTAAAATTGGCAATTAGTGAAGAAAATTGAAAGCAGAGATATATATATAGAAAACAAAATAGTTTCTTCGACAAATAATTGAAACCCAGATAATGAATTCTATTAAAAAAACAAAATCCATATCGAGTTTTGATTTGAAATCTTGTTGAAAATAGAATGGCATTGTTTTGATTGTCGGCAAAACCCAAATGCAGAATTTTTGGTTTGATTGCGAAATTCAGAAAACCCAACTTCGCAAAACCCGTACAGGAAGTTTCAAGTTATGACACTCCAGAAATTGCAATAATGAACAAAACCAAATGTGATTGACAGTTACAAAACTGCGGTTCGTTAATACATACATACATACAAATACCTTTGTACTTCTTGAACAACAGCTTCAGAGTTGGGATATTGATGAGGGAGGGTGAGATTTAGTAAGCTGGAAGTTGTGCTAAAAGAAGAGAGAGCGATGAAGATACAATACAAGAAAATGCAGATACGAGGAAGCATTCTTGGAAGAACAAATAATAATTACAATTCACAGTTGTTTTGCTTTTGCTCTGTTATTGTTTATTTCTGTAAAAGAGACTCCAAAGGAAAGAAGAGATTTCTTTCTTCTTGAATACTCAGAAATTTTTTTATGGAATAAAAACAAAATTGTATTCAATAATGATGTTATAAACAAAAGAGAATTTGCTTTATTTGTGGGGTTTTTGGAGTTATTATTATTTATTTTTTTTGTTTATTTGAATGAAGAAAGGAAGAAACTTGGAGCGGTGCCTCTGATGGGGCCATGGGAAGAATTGAGTGCGCGCAGGCGCGAGGGGGAGGGGGAGGGGGAGAGAGAGTTCTCTCTGTGGTTGCATCTCCTTTGCAGCCTCCTCCAACTTATTCGCATTCCTACCTTGCTAGCTAGTTATTCTAACCCTAGCATGTTTGGTTAAGCTTAAAAAGCCACTATTTACTTTTAAATTACTTATTTTGTGAAGTAATTCTTCAACACTCAAGAAATGGATAAGAAGAGAAGGGAAAAGACGGAAATTTAAGTGGCGTTCGTGGGGGCGAGGGAGGGAGGAGATGGAGTTAGAGGGTGCTGGTAGGCTGCAGAGGTTCTTATCCAAATAAGGAATATGTATTTTATTTATTTATTTATTATTATTATTATTTATTTATTTTAAATCTCTCCCTTTTAAACAGTTGCTGATATAACTTTCTTTCAGTCTAGGCTGCTGGCCGAGGATTATAAAAAAGAGTGGTAATTTCAGAAAATCCTAGAGTTAAAATCTAGGATTCAAAAATAAGATGAGTAATTTAATATTTCAAAAATAAGATTTTTTATATTAAAATATTAAATATTAATTACATAAATTTCATTCTCTCACCCGTCTTCTCTCTCCAATTACTTAGTCTAATCAATTTCTGTCTCCAATTTCTTCTCTTACCCATCTTCTTTCTCTCTCTCTCTCTCTCTCTCTCTCTGGCAGCTTAAGAAAGCAATTCCGGCTCCGGCGATAACTGCTAATTTGGGTGACGAGGTTTATATTTTCATTTTCTTCATTGTGGTGGCCATTTCGATGTCAAATTTGGGGGTTTCTTTTTTTTTTTTTTTTTTTTTTTTTTTTTTTTGTGATGTGCTATGGTGGTGTGGCAATGGCAACAGTGCTGAATCGTGATGGTGGTGAGACTTTGGTGGCCTTTGACAACGCAACTCAAAGCGGCATTGCTTTCGCTAGAAAACACCGTTGGAAAGAAAAGACATCGTCGGCATCCATCGAGCTACGATATTGTGACGGCGCTACACACGTAGTGCTATGGTGGTCGAGATGTTGGCGATGGTGATGGCTGTGATGTGAGTTGTTGGTGATGTTGGTCGAGTTCTAGGTTTCGATCTAGCATTGGGCTAGAGTACATTAGGGATGAGTTGGGGTGGTGTGATGTTGGTAGTGGGTCGTGGTGGTGGTCGGAGTGGTAGTTGTTATCACAAGTGTTGGTGGCAGTGACGATGATGGTTTGTGATTTGAATGGCATGGGTGATGATATGATCCGGGTTAGGCCAAAGTCGGCCGCATAGTATACTTCGAGACCAAAGTTGCAATTTCCTCGCAAGAATCCTACTTTGACTCAATTTCTTATTTTTGGCAAGTTTATTATTTCAGAACTCTTAAATCAGGTTTTTTTTCCATGTGTCTAAACTTTAGTATAAATAGGAAATTTATTTCATTATTGTATTCGAATACTTAGATATTTTGAGAATTAATTCGAGAGGCTTTTTTGCTTCCAATATTTGTTCTTATGTGGAACAATCAAACTTATCAATATTTCGCAATCTTGTGGCGTTCAAAACTCGGGTAAGATTCAGTTAATTGTGTAATCAAAAGGTCTTTCGTATCTTTGTTACCTTGAGGTTGTTTGATTTATTAATTGGTTGGGTTAAATCCAAATCTGGATTAAATTTATAAGTTTAATATACTATTGGTTGTTTAGTTCCCAAAAGTGTGAATTGAGTCCTAAACTTTGATTTTTGACTTTCTTGGGATTTGTGTCATTCTTCTGTGGGTTCATTAGTGTTCGTTGCTACCGGGTTCACATCAGGTGGTATCAGAGTTTAAGCACCAGAATCCAAGTTATATCCCTTTGTTTATTTCTTCTTATTTTTGAGTCTTTGTTTTCTTTGTTCTTCGTGTTTCCCATTAAGTTTTAGTTCTAGATCTAAAGTTTTTAGTAATCTAATTGTTTTGTGTTTTTTTAAAAAAAATTTAATGTTACTGTTCATCCGTACTGTACTGTTCATTAATAAAAAAAATTGATTTTTTTTAGTCCCTCCAAAAATTCTATTTAATACTTTAGTCCTTTTTCTTCCTAATCTTGAATCTGCACAATTCAATTGGAATTCCACAAGAATCATTCAGGTTGAGTTTGAAAATTGTTCTTGGACATTGATTGAAAGCTTGAGTGGTAAAATGCTGAGTGGTGAGTTTAATTGAGGGTAAAAGTCAAATATTGAGTGATCCCGAGTGAAATTTTAGTGAGACAGAAAATTCGTGAGAATGTCAGAACGGGAAGGATCCACTTCGAGCAGGATGGAAATCAAAATAACATGGCAGACGATATGATGCAGCGATTTGAGCGCATGATAATTTGTGTAGAGAATAGGTTGGACGGGCTAGACGCTACGGTTACAAACCTTAGTCAGGGTCAACAAGCAGACATACCACATATTAGGAAGCTGGCTAGACGAGAGCCTAGGGTGAATATGCAAAATGAATATAGGTATGGCAGTGAATGAGATGATGATGAATTTGAAGAAGTAAAGATGGGACGGATGAGGAATAGAGATTGTAGGTTTGAACGAAGGGCTGAAACTATGGGGAAAACGACGGTGATGGAGGTATGGGTAGCATTAAAATGTCAATTCCAACATTTCGGGGTAGGAGTGACCCAGAGGTATTTCTTGATTGGGAGAAAAAGGTGGAGTTGATATTTGAGTGCCACAACTACTTGAAGAAGAAGAAAGTAAAGGTTGCAGTCTTGGAGTTCACTATGGGATCAGGTGGTCGCTTCACGGCGGAGGAATAGGGAGAGGTCGATAACTGCTTGCGATGAGTTGAAAGCGGTGATGAGAAAACAGTTTGTGCCTGGCCACTATTATAGGGAGCTTCATTAAATGTTGCGGGGATTGTACCAAGGGCCAAGGAGTGTAGAGGATTGCCATAAAGAGATGGAAATTCTAATGATTCGGGCTAATGTGAAGGAGGACAGGGTAGCCACCATGGCGCGATTCCTGAATGAGTTGAACAGGGATATCGCCAATATTGTTGAATTGCAGCATTACATGGAACTAGAGGATATGTTGCATGTAGCAATGAAGGTTGAGAGACAGTTGAAGAGAAAATGGGGAGCTAGGAATCAACAGAGGCCTAATTCATCTTGGAGGTCTAGGTGGGATGAAGAGAAGGTTGATGGCATATTGTCAACAATAAAATTGAACCACCTAGGGGAAAGGATAACAACGCTGGCATGGTTAGGAATCCGGACATCAAGTGCTTGGGGATAGGACACATTATTTCTCAGTATCCAAACAAACGAGCCATGATTTTGAAAGACAGCGGGGAAGTGGTGAGTGACAGTGATGAAGATGGAATGCCCAAGTTAGAAGATGTTAGTGATGATGACGGGGTGGAGTATCCAGTTGAAGGGGACGCATTGGTGGTGATGCGTGCACTCAGTTCGCAAATCAAGGTGGATGAAGAGGAGCAACAGCGGGAAAATATCTTCCATACACGATGCCACGTGGAAAATAAGGTATGTAATTTAATAATTGACGGAGGTTGTTGCACAAATTTAGCTAGTACCACATTAATCAAGAATGATTATGGAGAGGTTAAGGTGAACAAGAGGGTGTTATTGAATTTGTCAATTGAGATGTATAAGGATGAAGTGTTGTGTGATATTGTGCCTATGGATGCGGGGCATATATTATTGGGTAGGCCGTGGTAATACGATAGGAAGGTGAAGCATGATGGATTTAGAAATAGTTACAACTTTGACATGGATGGAAAAACAATTACACTTGTCCCTTTGACACCACAACAAGTGTATGATGATTAGTTGAGGTTGAAAGGCGATGAGGGGAAAATGAAAGAAAAATGAAAGGAGAGCTTATATGCAAAGAAGATCGAGCTTGGTGGTGGATGAGAGTTGGTGAAGGCTAACATATTCCTCCCCAGTTTGAAACATTCCTTACTGCAGGAAAAAAAAATTTATTGCATGAGAAAGCACCATTTAAGTATTTCATTGATGTACAACAAATGGAGTAACTTTAGAGCATTGAAGAGGAATTAATCAACCATTGCAACGCGGGGTACAAGAAGCTCAATCAAGAGTTCAACATTGATCAAGCAGATGGAAGGTGCAAAGTATTTGAACCAGGTTCAGATTCGAGATCGAATCTTTTCGAAGAGAGAAGGGATGTTATGATCTAGATTAGGCCAAAGTCGGCCGCATAGTATACTTTGGGACCAAAGTTACAATATCCTCGCGAGAATCCTACTTTGACTCAATTTTTTATTTTTTGTAAGTTTATTATTTTAGGACTCTTAAATCAGGTTTTTTTCCCATATTTCTAGACATTAATATAAATAGGAAATTTATTTCACTATTATATTCGAAGACTTCGATATTTTGAGAATTAATTCGAAAGGCTTTTTCGCTTCCAATATTTGTTCTTGTGTGGAACAACCGAACTTATCAAAATTTCGCGATCTTGTGGCTTTCAAAACTCGGGTAAGGTTCAATTAATTGTGTAATGAAAAGGTCATTCGTGTCTTTGTTACCTTGGGGTTGTTTTCATTAATTAGTTGGGTTAAATTCAAATCCGGATTAAATTTATAAGTTTCGTGATCAAAAGGTCAATAGTTTAATATACTATTGGTTGTTTGGTCCGCAAATTTGTGAATTGAATCCTAAACTTTGATTTTTGGCTTTCTCGAGGTTTGTGTTATTCTTCTGTGGGTTCGTTAGTGTTCGTGTACCAGGTTCACATCAGGTGACGTGATTGGTGGTTTGTTTTTCATTGTTTTGATGCTTGGTTTCGGTGAATGTGGTGGTAGTTTGCATTGCAATAGTGAGGGGTGGCCGGTGGTGTCGTGCTTGCTGTGGTGGTTTGCCCCGTGACGGTGTTGCTGTCGGTGGTGGTGGTGGTTTTGATGACAATGATGGCGGCGATAGTGTTGAAGGCAGTGTTGTCATAAGGGTTGGGGTGGTCACAGATTATTTGATTGATTGTAACCATTAAATTGAATAATTCGTGACCGAAGAAGATAAACTGTGACAAATTTGATCTAAAAAAAATATTAATTTGTGACCGTCTAATAAGTTGTGACCTTGTGATCTGTGATCGATATATAAATTGTGACATATTAATTTTTGATTTGTGATCGATGAACAAATTGTGATCTAAAAAATTTAGAATTGTGACCGTAAAATAATTTGTGATATTTAAAAATTATGATTTGTGATCGAAAAATAATATGTGAAAAACTAAATTATGAAACTGTGATCAAATTATATAGATATGTGACCTTAATATATT